AGGAAGGAAGGAAGGAAGGAAGGAAAGAAAGGAAAGAAAGAAAGAAAAGAAAGAAAGAAAGAAAGAAAGAAAGAAAGAAAGAAAGGAAAGAAAGAAAGAAAGAAAGAAAGAAAGAAAGAAAGAAAGAAAAGAAAAGAAAGAAAGAAACTCAAATCAATGTAATCAACCATATTAACAGTCCAAAGAAGAAAAATCACACCATTATAGGGGTCATAGATCTAAATGTAAAATTTAAAACCATACAAATTTTGGAAGACAACATAGAAGATCTTTGTTACCTGGGGTGTGGCATAGAATTTTTAGGATACAACACCAAAAGCATAATCAATACAGGAAAAAAAATTGGAATTCATCAAAATTAAAAGCTTTGCTTTGTAACATACATCGTTAAGAAAATGAAAACAAAACAAAACAAAACAAAACAGGGGTACCTAGGTAGCTCAGTCGGTTAAGCATCCAACTTCGGCTCAGGTCATGATCTCACAGTTCATGAGTTCAAGCCCCGCACTGGACTCTATGCTGACAGCTCAGAGCTTGGAGCTTGCTTCGGATTCTGTGTCTCCCTCTCTCTGCCCCTCCCCTGCTCACACTCTGTCTTGCTCTCTTTCTCAAAAACAAATAATAAAAACATTAAAAATAAATAAAAAATAAAGAAAACTTCAAGATATACACAGAATATTAAAAAACAAAAAACACCACTTGTTTCTCCCAGTTATCTGTATACCACACCCCAAACAAATAGAATCCTGTATTTCCCCTCCCACTATGCTTTTATTCATTCATTTAATACACATGTATGTACCACCTTATATAAGCCAAGTGATTTAGAAATAACTAAGAAAGAATTCTGACTGATGGGAAGAATTCAAGATAGGCAGTCCCTTCTCCTCTGGGGTTTTTACAACAGTAACATTTTCTTATCAACCTATCTATTATGCTAAAAAATAGTATCAAAGCAATGCACAGACAGCAAAGCTGCTTTCCCACAATAGCATCATGAGGTGGGGAAGGTACACTGTAGAGATACGGAAAATGAATTGAGATTCAAGGTAGATTCTAGAGATGTAGAAACTGAACGGAAGTTGAGTGACAGGCCCAGTGTCACACAGCACATTGGAATTAAAACATAACTCTTCAAATTCCCAGGGTGAGGGCTTCAATTCCGTTTCAAAACATTTTGTGCCAATGTTGCAATATGTTTCAAGAATCTTAAAAGTTCAGACCTCTGTTCTAGTTATTCCATTTCTGGGAATCTAAGGACATAACATGAAATGTCTGCACAGATTTATGCAAAAGACTTTTGGTGCAGTGTTACTTACAGTAGTTAAAATCTAGATGTCTAGACTCACGGGAAATAAGGAAAACCATGTATGCAGTGGTCTAACCTTTATAAACGTTTAGAAGCAGCATGATTATTTGGAAACATGTTGGAAACAATGTCAAATGGAAAGAACAGGATCTTAACATTTTACATACAAAATAATCCTAACTGTATTTTTTAATGTTTTATTTATTTTTGAGACAGAGAGCATGAACACGGCAGGGGCAGAGAAAGAGAGAGACACAGAATCCAAAGCAGGCTCAAGGCTCTGAGCTGTCAGCACAGAGCCCAATGTGGAGCTCAAACCCACAAACTGTGAGATCATGACCTGAGCCGAAGTCAAACGCTTAACTGACTGAGCCACCCAGGCACCCCAATATCAGTGCATAGCCTGATGCAGGGCTTGAAGTCACAAACGGTGAGACCATGACCTCAGCCGAGGTCAAGACTCAGAGGCTTAACCTACTGCGCCACCCAGGCGCCCCCTAACTGTATTTTAAAAGAGTTCTGGGGAAAGATCATGCAAATACTGATGAATAAAAGAAACACCAGTATAGCATTTTCTAGGTCTGTTTCAATAGCGTCAAAAATACACGCAGCCTTCGCCAAAGAAGATACACAAGTGGTCAAAAAGCACATGTAAAGATGCTCAGCAAAACTAGGCATTAGGGAAATGCAAATCAAAACCTCAATGAGATACCACTCCACGCCTCACTAGGACAGCAATAATAACAACAGCAACAACAATGGAAAATAGCAAGTGTTGGCGAGGATGTGGTGCAATTGGAACCCTCGTGCACTGCTGGCGGGAATGCAAAGTGGTGCAGCTGCTGTGGAAAACAGGTTGGCGGTTTCTCAAAAAGTTAAGCATAGATGTGCTGTATGACCCAGCAACGCTACTTCTGGACAGACGTACACCCAGGGAAACTGAAAGCAGGTGTACAAGCAGGTGCGTCTGCTAGTGGCACAATGCACAGTGGCCAAAGGGTGTCCAACCAATGAATGGATAACAAAATGTGGTGTGTCCAGGCCAATGATAATAGAATGTTATTCAGCCATAAAAAGGAAGGGAGTAGCTTTTAAAATGGGAGGGGAAAAAAGAAATGTAGTGCAAATGTAATGTGCACCATGGATGCACCCGGAGACATTATGCTGGGTGAAGAAAGCCAGACATGGGGGTCACAGATGGTATGATTCCATTTATTGAGCATCTAGAATGGACAAAACCCATGACCGGAGAGTGGCTCAGTGGCTGCCAGTGAGTGGATCAGGGGCTAGGAGGTTGGGGAGGTGCAGGGAGTGACTGCTTGGTGGGTATGAGATTTACTTTTAGGGTAACGGGATGGAACGGGATGGGGTGATGGTTGCTGGGCACTGTGAAGGTACTAAATGTCACTAATGGTAAGTCTTGTATGTATTTTACATATATATATATATATGGGTATATATATGTGTGTGTGTGTGTGTGTGTGTATATATATATAT